TGTGATACGAGGATCAATTCACCAATTTGATTGATTTTCATGCTGGTGAATTATTAGTGGGATAATACATAATAAATTATCTATCTATATCACGGTATTATCTGTCTGTCTATATTGGTATCTATCTCACCATCCATCTCATCTATCAATCTATATCTGTCTGTCTATATTGGTATCTATCCATCCATCCATCTCATCTATCTATCTATCTATCTATCTATCTATCTATCTATCTATCTATCTATCTATCTATCTATCTATCTATCTATCTATCTTATCTATATCTCGGTATATCTGTCTGTCTATATTGGTATCTATCTATCCATCCATGCATCCATCTCACCATCCATCTCATCTATCGACCTTATCTATCTAATCACTATCTATCTATCTATCTATCTATCTATCCCTCTCGTGTGTGTGTGTGTGTGTGTGTGTGTGTGTGTGTTTGCAATTTAATTAGCATGCTGTATTTCTAGTTTATTGTGGGTGTTTTTGATTCAGTTCTTATATTTTTTTTTATCGTGGTTAGTGTGCTATGGGTTTCAAAAAAGGTGGTCTTGTGAATGCAGCCACAGCCTGTACGAATGTCATCACTGTGGTTTCTCTCCTACTTATCGCCCTCATCCAGGAGAGGCCTCGGTGTCCTTCCGTGGCCGAAGCCTGAAGGGGAAGGAAAGATGTCTTCCCAAGGGATATGTCGGGTTAGTGCTGGAAGAGGCCAGCTTAGGCCTAACGTCCAAGGTTTGTTCCTGGAATGGTATGTGGGGAAGACACAAGGCAGAGGGCAGCGGTCAAGGAACATCAGATAAGAGGCAGCTGAGCCCTCAGCTGCATAATGAGAGGAGAAAGAGGCGCAGAAGAGACCCTCCCTAATTTCTCAGGCTGTAAATGGGGGGCGGGGGAAATCTAGATCTATGGAAAGAGTTCAGGGTGTGTGCTGGCATCTGCAAGGATATGGGGGGAAAGACCTTGGGAGACGGAGGAAAGAGACCCTGTCAGATAAGAGACAGCATAGCCCTCAGCTGTATAACAGGCAGGGCGAGAGGCTCACTAGAGACCCTCCCTAGTTTCTCAGGCAGTAAAGGAGGGGAGAGAGAATCTAGATCTAGGGAAAGAGTTCAGAGTGTGTGCAAGGATATGGGGGGAAAGACCTTGGGAGACGGAGGAAAGAGACCCTGTCAGATAAGAGGCAGCACAGCCCTCAGATGTGTAACAGGCAGGGCGAGAGGCTCACTAGAGACCCTCCCTAGTTTCTCAGGCAGTAAAGGAGGGGGGAAGAGAATCTAGATCTAGGGAAAGAGTTCAGAGTGTGTGCAAGGATACGGGGGAAAGACCTTGGGAGACGGAGCAAAGACACCCTGTCAGATAAGAGACAGCATATAGAATATGAGACTATAAAAGGGGGGGGGAAGAATAAATCTAGCTCGATAACCGTGCTTCGTTATGAAACTATGTGGTCAAGCTTAGTTTTTGGGGAGGAAAATAGGTGGGGGGGATTCTCCCTCTGCCTATCAGCATCCATTGGTATTCATCTGGCTAGCGCCCTGTCAGTGTGAGTTTTGAGGACTGTTTGGAAACTGAAACAGTATTTGCTGTGGGAGTAAGGAGGAGACAGCAAGGAGCCTGGGCGTGACTTAGCTCAACTGTTCTGTACTAAAGCTGCTTGGTGCTGTGAAACTGAAACTCCTCTGCTTGTGTTTTGCATTTGGAAGAGATTTCTTTCCAGGTGGGGAGGGGGAGTAGAACTCCTTAGCATCAGAGTGTGTTAATAATAATAATAATAATAATAATAATAATAATAATAATAATAATAATAATAATAATAATAATAATATAGGAAATTCTAATGCTCTGATGGTCATTCGGAAAAATCCTTTCTTAGTGAGCATCTAGAAGCCAAGAGGAACATAACATGCCAAATTCCAAGTTTGTAGGCTTTACGGTTCTGGAGATTTTGTGATGATGCGTGAGTGGCCTTTCGCTTTTATGTAGAAGAAGTTGGGAAGACCTTGGGAGACAGAGCAAAGAGGAAGAGACAGCATAGCCCTCAGACGTATAACAGGCAGGGCAACAGACTCAGACGGGACTTTTCCTAGTTTCTCAGGCTGTAAAAGAGACAGTGGGAGGTTTGGACTTTCAGGCCTGCGAGATTCTTTTGAAGCAATCAGCTCACCTATCCTCACCCTTCCATGCTGGGGTAGGGTGGGCAAATAAATCCAGTGCTCCCCTCCAACACCATCGCCTTTTTTGCCCCCCCCCCCCGACCCCCCTCCCTGTATCCAGGAACGGGAAGTGGGTGTGAAATCGACCTTCAATTCCCTGACAGTGTGGAATCTCGAACGGACACCAAATCACAGCGATGAAATCATCATGGCTCTCGCTTGGCCAGCGATCGCTCGAGGGGTGAGTGTTGGGTCGATGACTTCTGCATCAAGAAGAAAACGCCCCCGGACTACAATTCCCAGAGTTCCTCGGTCTAACCAGAGGATTCTGGGAGTTGAAGTCCGCGCTGGCTGAAGAGTTCATTCAACGAGTTCAGAGTTTGATCCAAAAATGCGAAACGGGATTGAGGCGGGATCAAAAACGGGTTTCACAAATCCGTATTAAGCCACATGGGGTTATTATTATTATTATTATTATTTTTCCTGTTTTTAACGTGTGGGTAACGCAAACCAACGTGCTTAAAAATACAATACCGGGACAGACGAAAAGGTTTTGGGGAGAAGTGTGGGAAACAAAGCAGAGCAAAGGCTGAACGGTGTCCCTGAGGGCTAGAAACTTGGATCTTGGTTTGAATTGCGTTCGTCTACTGGGCACCTGCTTCATTTTCAGCTTTCTTTGAGTCCTACCCGCCAGGATTATGGGTATTCATTCTTGTGCTAAAATGTATAGGTAGTCCTCGACTTAACCGCACAATTTGACTTGGAAACTTCCGTTGCTAACGGATGCAGAGTAATGCTTGAATTTTATGACCTTTTTTGGCCATGGTCGTTAACCGAACCTGACTCTTTCTATTGCCTTTGCTCGCTTGAAAATTGCCAGTGGAGATTGGGTGACGCTGGGACCATCCTGGTTGCCAAAAGCTCGAATTTTGATTAAGCGACTAAGGGGATGCCGTGTCAGTCGTAAGTGTGAGGACCGTCACTTTTTTCCCAGTGATGCAACTGTCACACGGTCGTAAGTTGAGGACTACCTGTATGCATTTGGGCACAAAGGCAAGGCACTGATTTTCTGTATGGGTCTGCTTACAGATCCATGCCCCCGTGGCCGATGAGGAGTGAGGAAGACCACAGCATTGTCTGAAGGGGTCTTGGAGAAAAAAATACATTGTGCTCGGACTTTACAAGGCGGACTTGGGTGAAAAAGAACGTGGAAGAAATCTTCAGCCTTTCTTTGCGGTGTTAAGGAAGTTCCTTTGCGGCTTCTTTTTTCTTCCAAACTGTATTTGCAATTTATGCTTATTTTACAGCCTCTTGGAAGAAAGAACTGCAGCCTTCCGTGGATCTTGGGCTGAGTTTTAATTATTATTATTATTTTGCTTCTGGGGGGGCTTAATGATTTTGAGCGCATCTTGTTTCCAACTGAAGACGAACAGGGCCTTGTTTTAAAATTTTGGTATCTGCCGAGTGTTCCTTCTACTTCTGGCATTTTTAAAACAAAAACAACGAATAAAACTTCTCATCGTTTTGAAAGTGCTGATGGTCTCACTTTAGGCTCCTCCGTCAACTCTTTCAGGGCCAGAATGGGGAAGGGGGGACTGCCAAAAATCCCTCCACAACTTTGTTCTGAGAAATTAGCGTTGCCACAAGGCTTTTTCATTTCGTAACAGCAAACTTCTCTCTTGAAAGATTTGAGATTTTCAGTGCAATTTGGGGGGGGGGGGCGGGGGGAGACAACCTTTAACACTTTCAGTAACTATGACTGTTGGTTTTTCTTGCAAATCCACTTTCTTTGGGAGAGAGAGAGGGAGGAGGGAGGGAAGGAAGGAAAGAAAGACAGGGAATGTGGGGGGGAAAGGAGGGAAGGAGAGGGGGTGGGAAGGAGGGTGGAGAAAGGAAGGAAAGGAGGGAGGAAGAAAGGAAAGGAACGAGACAAATGGAGAAAGATGAGAAGAAAAGGAGAGGTAAGAAAAAAAGAAAAGGGAGAAGGAAGGAAAGGAAAAAGGAAGACATGGAAAAGAAAAAGAGAAGGAAGGAAACAGAAAAGGGAGAAAAAGAAGAGAGAAAAAAAATAGATAAGGGAAAAGGAGCTAAAGGGAGGAAGGAAGTGATGAAAAGGGGAGTGAGAGAAGAGGAGGGAAGAGAAAGAAAGAAAAAAAACACAGAAATAATTGCAAAACAAGGGAAGGGTCTCTTTTCCTTTAAAAAAAAAGGATTTTGTTCATTTATTCCGATCAGAGACATGAGGCAAGCCGTCGCTTTTTTGAGAAATACGCGTCTCATGTCCGGCTCTCGAGGCTTTTTCCTGGGCTCAGAGGCCCATGGGACACCCTCTCTTCGGAGCGGGAAACGATGGGAGGGGTCCTGCCTTCTTCTCCCCCCAGTGGGGGGGTTTCCAGTCCCAGAGTGCTGTGTCTCCTGCTCACCCCCTCCTCCCGGAATCAGCCGCTGGAAGGGATCTTCGGTTCCCTCCGGCCGCTGGGAAGGAGCACCCCGCAAATCCGTTCTTCCACCTTGGGACTCGCCCCCTCCCGTGGAGACCCCTCGGCCCCCAACCCTGAGCCTTCGGGGGGGGGATAAGTTGGGGGAGGCAGCCTTCAGAAATGTCTGGACCGATAAAAGCAGGGCGAACGCAAGAACCGTCTGTGCTTTTCAACTACTGTACACGGAGTCCCGTCTCGAAAAGGCCACCCGGGACGCGGCGGGGATGTTCAGAGTCCGGGGGGTGGTGGTGGTGGGGTTAAGGGGCAGAGAGGTCAGCCCGATCCTCCTTACTGCTGTACATCGAGGTCCGGGACGCCAACCTCCTCCCCCCCCCCCCCCAATTCTGTCCTCCTGTGCCGGTCGAAGGGCCCTTTGAAATCACCACTTCCCTCTCTTACTCCAGTCTTTCGGGGTGAAATGTAAACACTTGGAATCGATGCGCAGGATCCGCTTCAGCATGGCCCTCTCGTGCCCATCCACAATGTCCTCGGAGAGAGTCAGGATGTATTGGCCCTGGGGAATAACGGAACGACAAAAAGAGGTGGGAAGAGACCTCGGAGGTCTTCTAGTCTGACCCCCCCCACCCCCACCCCGCGCCCTTGATCAAAGCAGGAGACCCTGTATCGTTTCGGACAAATGCCCGTCTGATCTCTTCTCCCAACCCCAACGTCTGGAGGGAAGCCGCCCCACCGGTTAATTGATCTGGCAGTATAGAATAACAATAACAGAGTTTAGAAGGGGCCTTGGAGGTCTTCTAGTCCAACCCCCTTGCTCAAGCGGGAAACCCTACACCATTTCAAACAAATAGCTGTCCAATATTTTCTTTAAAACCCCCATTGATGGAGCATCCGCGACCTCTGGAGGCAAAGCCGTTTCACTGGTTAATTGTTCTATTTCTTTGAGTTGCTTCCCTCCTAGATTAGCTTCCATCCCCTGTTTCTTGTCCTACCGTCTTGTGCTTTGGAGAATAATTTGTTCCCCTTTGGGGACAGCCCCTCAAATGCTGGAATTACTGCTATCCTGTCTCCCCTGGTCCTCCTTTTCATTAAGCCAGACATACCCAGTTCCTGCAACCTCTCTTAGTATGTTTTAGTCTCCAGTCTCCTAATCATCTTGGTTGCTCTTCTCTGACTTACAGTCTTAAGTTCTCATCACAGATACACCTAGTCCTTTGCTTACAACCCCAACTGAGCCCAAAATTTCTATTACTATGCAAAACAGTTGTGGAGTGAATTTTGCCCTATTTTACGGGCGTTCTTGCAAACCGTTCGGTGAATCACTGCCGTTGTTTAAGATAGCAACCCGGTTGTTAAGTGAATCTGGCTTTCCCCACTGACTTTGCTGGTCAGGAGGTCGTAAAAGGGGTTCAAATGACCCCGGGAGGCTGCGACCATCCGAAATATGAGTTGCCAAGCATCTGACTTTTATTGTGATCATGTTTCATGTGTGAAAAGTGGTCATAAGTCCCTTTTTTCAGTGCTGTTTTAACTTCGAACAGTCACTAAATGAGTGGTTGTATTATTATTAACATTACTTGCATTATTATCAATTGCTGCCAAAAACGCGGATTATGCTCTTTTGCAAAAAACAGCAAAAGCAAAGCGACGTTTGCACCAAGATAAATTCCTTGTGTGTCCAATCACATTTGGCCAATAAAGAAGTATATTCTATTATATTCTAAAAAAGCAGGGTAAAATCCCATTTTTAGGTCCTCACACCATCATTAACCCCTCTTTGTTGGAAAAAATTAACTAACTCCCCACATGACATCAAAATGGCAAAATGAAAAATTAGAATAGATAAAAAAATTAGAAATTTGGGAATGTTGTTATCCATATATTTACTGAACACATTTAATTTAGTTTACTTTATTGTCATTGCACCTCATACGACAATTTATGACTATTAAAATAAAACATCCTTCGCATTCTATACATTGAATTGAAAACCCCAGATATTGTATTAATATTTTACTATACAGTAGAATTCAACAGAGTTACTGGGATAGAAGCTGTTTTTCAGCCTATTTCTCCTTGTTTTTATTATCCTGTACCCTCTGCCAGATGGTAATAGTTCAAAAAAAGGGTTCCTAGGATGAGATGGATCTTTAAGGATGTTTTGAACTTTCTTAAGGCAGCGGAAGATATAAAGCTCTTCCAAAGAGGGGAGAGGGCAACCCATGATCCTCTGGGCCATGACATTCACCCTCTGGAGCGCTTTCCTATCTGCCCCCGTGCAATTGGCAAACCCTACAGAGGTGCAGTGAGTTAAAATTCTCTCTCCGGTGCAGCGGTAGAAGGTCACCAGCAGTTTTTCATTCAGTTGTTGTTTTCTGAGAAGCCTCAGGTAGTGTAATCTCTGCTAGGCCCTTTTGACCAAGGCTGCAATGTGAGCCCCCCAGGTCAGGTCCTCTTTTAGGGTAACACCCAGAAACTTAATACTTAAAAAAAAAATTAAAGTGAATATTAGAGGCTAAGAGCAGAGTTTGAAAAAGGATGTTATTAGGGCTGCTCAAAAATAACGCTCTTACTATTAGAAGGATGTAGCAAATATTGAATAACTGAAAAAAATGAAGGATTGTGTGCTGATACAGTTATGCATAACAACATTAGAGCACGTAAGTCGGATTAATCTAGTAATAATGCTCATTGTATTAATATTGCTTTTGTATCAAAATGAATGACACTCAGATACCGCACTGTCCACGGAATGGTACTGATGTATGTTTAAAAATAATAAAACTTTACCAAAAGAAAAAAATGGCAAAGAAGCCCCACCTAGGCCATCCATGCAAACGTTTCTTGCTTGTTCACAATCAAGGCCCCCTGAATGGTGAATTTACCTTGTAATAATTTATGAGGTTCAGATATTGAAGTGTTGAGATTACGTCTTCTTTCTTGATGCTTGTGATTTCGCTGATCTCGCTGGAAAAGACGGAAGAAAAACACAGTTGAAATGCTGAATGGGAAGAGAAACCGCTGGGCTTAGAGGCCATTTCAGATTCCCAGGATTCCACCATCCGAAATGGATCTCTAACCCATGTTTGCATCATTGGGATGAGGATTTTAACAATGGTGATAAGGTAGTTTAAAAGGCCTGTCCATCCCTATCCCAGAACAGTCACAAGAAACATGGTATATCAAAGGCAGTAGATGAGGTATATATAACCTATGAGGTTAGATGCTTTAGGTCAGAGGATGGCTGGACTTGGTAATATAAAAAATAAAGTGGACTGCGGCTTTTGTTTGTAAATTTAGTTACCAAAAAAATAATCAAAACGAAAAACGCTTTAATGGGTAATGATTAGTTTGGTCAAATTTTAACACAACATTCTTCAATTGGGGAAAGACAGGATCGGAGAAAGCAGTGTTGAGGAAAAAGAAAGAGAGAGAGAGCCATCCCAAAATTTGGGGGCAATTTTGCTGCTTACATTTTGGGGACAAAAAAATAGCTGATTTTCCTGTTGGCAAACAAGGAGAAGGCAAAAATGAAACTGCTTTTTTGGCTCAATCGGCAACCTCCAAAGAAATAAATAAATCTATCTCTATCAGTATTATCTATCTATCCCTATCTCTCTCTCTCTCTTATCTATCTATCTATCTATCTATCTATCTATCTATCTATCTATCTACCTACCTACCTACCTACCTACCTACCTACCTATCTACCTATCTATCATCTATCTATCATCTATCTCAATCATGGAGCCAAATAGAGAGATCAGACTGAATTAAGGCCAGAGAGTGGAGCGGTCATCTAGTCCAACCCTCTCTTTCCCCATTGGCAAACAGAAGGCAAAAATGAAACGGCTTTTTGGGGCCCGATCGGCAATCCCCCCAAAATAAATAAATAAAATCACGGAGCCGAATGGGAAAATCAGACTGTATAATGTCACTGAGTGGGAAGGGAGCTAAACAGAGGTCATCTAGTCCAACCCGCTCTTTTGAGAATCTTCCGTATTTCATCCTTGCCTTATGTTTCCGCCCCGCCTCCCCCGAGACCACAATTTGCTGACAAGTCTGGGAAACCCCCATCGCAAACAACTTGTCACGATATGCAGATGGTCTCGCTCTCAAGTTTTGGGGGGGATTAAAACCGCCGCAGGTCCCTGCTCTCCTGGCCCTCACTTGATGGTGATCTGTGGCCGCTCGCCGTTCTCCAGTTTGAGGTTCATGAGGATCTCCAGGATGGTCTGGGACCAGTAGCTGCGGTACGACAAGAGGCCCAGGTCCGAGAGGGGTTTTTCGGGCGTGCCCGTCTTCCCTTCAACCTTGGAGAGCTCGTAACCTGGAAAGACGGAACCGAGTTAAGAACTAGCCAGGATTTTAAGAAACAGATCCAGGATCGTTTGGGGGGGGCGGACTGAAGTACATGGGGTGCTCTATTTACAACCACAATTACCACTGCTAAGCCACACAGTTGTTTAGTGACTTCGATGTTTAAATGAGTTTTGGCCCGTTTTACCACCTTTTTTGCCGCCGTTGCTAAGTGAACCATGCGGTCATTAAACAAATCCAGCTTCTCCTATTCGCTGTTTTGTTGGAAGCCAGCTGGAATTGGTGACAAATGGTGGTCACTTGACCCCGAGGTGCAATTGCCGGTAGTCCTTGAGTTACGACCGCCACTGAGCCCAACATTTAGGTTCACCCTCTCAGCGAAACATTTGTTAAATGGGTTTGTCTCATTTTGCAACTTTTCTGGCTGTGTTCGTTAAGCGAATCACCACAGTGATTAAATTTAGTAACACAGGTCATTAAGCAAATCTGGATTCCCCCCACTGACTCTGCTTGCCAGGTCGTCACAAAAGGGGATGACCTCACACACACACACACACACACACTGGGACAGTGCAACCATCATAAATGCGAATCACTTATCAAACATCTGAATGAAAACCACATTCAATGGGGATACTACAACTGTTGTAAGTCTGAGTCTGTGGCCAAGCATCCGAATGTAAATCGCAGGACCACGGGAATGCTGCAACAGTCGTAAGTGTGAAAAACAGTCGTAAGTCACTTTTTTCCCAGGTGCCGTTGTAACTTCGAACGGTCCCTAAGTAAGGACTACCTGAATTGTAAATACATGCCAGTTGTCTGAATGTTGATCACATGACCATGAGGATGCTGGATGCTGGTCGTAAGTGTGAGGACAGGACGGGTCCATAAACTGTTTCAACTCCTACCCTCAAAACGACGCTTTACGTCAGGGATCTTCAAACTTGACAGCTTGAAGACTTGTGGACTTCAACTCCCAGAATTCCTCCTCCAGTCATGTTAGCTCAGGAATTCTGGGAGTTGTTAGCTCAGGAATTCTGGGAGTTGAAGTCCACAAGTCTTAAACTTTCCAAGTTGGAAGACCCTTACCATAGAGCCCTGCACACAAGAACAACTAGACACAAGAACAGTTTTTCCCAAACGCCATCACTCTGCTAAATAAATAATTCCCTCAACACTGTCCAACTATTTACAAAATCTGCACTACTATTACTATTAATCATATCATTCCTTATCACCCATCCCCTCCCACTTGTGACTGTAGGACTGTAACTTTGTCGCTTGTATCCTTATGATCTATACTGACTGTTTCCTAATATGATTTGATTGCTTATTGTACCCTATGACTATTACTAAGTGTTGTACCTAATGATTCTTGACTCTTGGTGAATGTATCTTTTTTTTCTTTTACGTACACCGAGAGCATTTGCACCAAGACAATTTCCTTGTGTGTCCAATCACATTTGGCCAATAAAGCCATTCATTCATTCATAAGTCACTTTTTGGAGTGCCGTTGTAACTGTGAACAGCCACTCCAAGAATGGTTGTAAGTTGAGGCTAATTCAAAACAGGAAGGCTCACTTACTGAATTCAATCAGCAGCTTGCCATAACCCCGTCTCTGATAGGGAGGTAATGTCAGAATGCAGGCCACGTTATAATCTTCGGTGGATTCCTTTTCCTGCAAGGAAGAATGACACAAACAGGGTTTAAGGATCGGGCCTTTCTCATTCCAACCTGGCCAAGATATTTGGCCAAAGGCAGATCGGCCTGACAAGCCAAGTTTCCCTGGCTTTTATCACACAAAGCAGAGGTCCCCAAACTTGGCAACTTTAAGACTTGTACACTTCAACTCCTAGAATTCCTCAGACAGCTTGTTGGGAGTTGAAGTCCACAAGTCTTAAAGTTGCCAAGTTTGGAGACCTCTGACATAAAGAGTTTCAAACAAGAAGCGAATTAGCCAGTTTAGTCTAGTGGTGAAGGTGCCACATTAGAAACCGGGAGACAGCGGAGTTCTAGTCCCGCTTTAGGCAAAAAAAAAAAAAAGCGCCATCTGGATGACTGGCTCAATCCCCAGGAAATGGTGAGTTCTAGTCCTGGCTTTAGCTGTTGTAGCTGACCAGGTGGATGGAAACTAACCAAGGAGAGAAGCAACCTAGAATTAAGGAGGGATTTCCTGACGGTGAGAACAACTCAGCCGTAGAACAGAAGTTTCCTGCAGAAGTTGTGGGGGCTCCGTCACTGGAGGTTTTTAAGAAAAGGCTGGCCAACGATTCTATTCCTTATTCGATTCCTTATTCTATTCTATTCTATTCTATATTCTGTATTCTTGTTCTATTCTTATTTCTATTCTATTCTCTATTCTCTTCTTTTCTCTTCTCTTCTATATTCTGTTCTATTCTTTCTACTCTACTCAACTCAACTCTATTCCTTATTCTATTCTATTCTGTTCTATTCTATTCTGTATTCTTGTTCTATTCTTATTTCTATTCTATTCTCTCTTCTCTCTTCTCCTCTACATCTATTCTGTTCTATTTTGTTCTTGTTCTGTTGTTCTATTTTCTCTTCTCTTCTCTCTTCTCTACATCTATTCTATTCTATTTTACATTTTATTCTATTCTTTATTCTGATATTCTATTCTCTTCTATTGCTATTGCTATTCTGTTCTATTCTATTCCCTATTCTACTCTATTCTATTCTATTCTATTCTATTTTATCCTATCCTATCCTATCCTCTATTCTATCCTCTACTCTATTCTTTATTCTATTCCTCATTCTATTTTCTATTCTATTCTATTGTTTATTCTATTGCTATTCTGTTCTATTCTATTCCTTATTCTATGCTTATGCTTATTCTTATTCTATACCTCTAAGGTCCCTTGCAGCTCTTATCCTGATTGACTGACACCCCCAATTCTTTGCCACTTTTGACTTTCAGGGCCTAAAAGCGTGGAAAACCATCCCGTGCAAAGCTTAATGCTGAAACACGGGTGCTTAACTGCACACGGACCCCCTGGTTCTCCAAACAGAGGGAGCGAGAGAACGCAAACGGCAGCGCTGGAACAGAAAAACGGATTTTGGGGGAATCGAGCAGAGACGCACCTTGGAGAAATAGCCGACGATGTGGAAGCCTTTGCTGTCGTACTCGGTCATGACGTAGAAGAGGAAGGGGTCCGTGTCGTAGTAGAGGGTTTTGTGATCGAGGAAACATTTCGCCAGAAGGCAAAGGTTTTGTGAATAACTCTAGAAGAGGAAAAAGGAAAGAATACAAGAGGGGACAGGATGAATACACGATTGGAAGTCCGGATTTAACCCATTCCTTTGGGGCGTCGAGAACCTGACTAAGGACGGGAACAAGAGGACACGGAGTCCTCGAATTATAAATGGTTTGTTTAGCGACCGTTCTTCGTTACAGCGGCACTGGGGGGGAAAAAAGTAATGTACGACCGATTTTTATATGTATAACCATGGCCGCATCCCCCTGGTCATGGGAATCCAAATTTGGATGCTTGGGAAGTGACGCGTATTTGTGATGGGAGTCACGCGATCCCCTTTGGAAGTTTGGCTCGAGACTCATGATTTAAACGGGGGTAACAGCCGGAATCCTGACACACCAAAGGCGCACGGAACGCTGTTCCCTTCCCACGAAAGGGGTCCCTATTTTTCTACTTGCATTTTTTTGCATGCTTTCGAACTGCTAGGTTGGAAGAAGCTGGGAGAAGGAACGGGAGCTCCCTCTGTTATGCGGTGCTAGGGATTCGAACCGCCAACCTGCTGACCTTTCTGATCGACAAGCTCAGTGTCTTAGCCACTGAGCCACTGCGTCCCTTTATACGAGAGCTCATTAACTAAATATCCAGAATTGAAATAAATACAGAAAACGGCATGCTTAACATGGGTGAGAGCAGACTTTCGATGCTGCCACATTTAGGGCCTGGGGATTTGGGGGGGGGGGGATTTCATAGTGAGGTGGAAGATGAGACTCAACGACATCCTTTCTCAGAGAGTCAAGGACATGCTGCCCTGCACCTACAGGGGAATGGCTGGAAGGATGGCTCCAGTTGGTTTGATTGGGCCACGTGAAGGGGATGGATCTTTGATTTTCTTTTGGGAAGGGAAAACCTGGAATCCTCAGATTCTGGTTTTCCCAGATGTGCCAACAGGACAAATCTAGTAAAATGGAGCTTTCCCCTTCAGCGGATCCGCAAGGAACTCTGGGAAACGTAGTCCCAATGCACCAGGTGGCTTCCAGGCTGCAGAAGACCAGATGTAGCACTAAGGACATCTTTCTTGCCTTGTTCTTCCGGCCATCGATCTCAAAGAAGGAAATGGTTCCTTTGCGGTAGATTTCGTTGCCCGGAGGATGCCTCAAGTCACACTTCATCTGCAGAGAGGAAAACCACAGAGTTGGGTGTCTCTCTCACAAAGAAAAATGGTTGCTAAGTCAAGGACTGCCTGTATATTGTTTACACATTAAGTTTTTATGCCGCTCATCTACCTTATAAGGCGACTCTGGGCAGCTTAATAAAGTTATAAAACAAGGAGAAGAATGATTAAAGCAATAAAACTGCAGAGGTGAAGATCTTAAATTAAATAGAAGGAGGTTAAAACTGCAGAGATGAAGATTTTAAGTCAAAATAGAAGAAAGATTAAAGAGAGATGATTTTAAAAACTGCACTGAAGCCAGAACTAAGAGACAGACAGAATGCAGCATTACAGGCTAATTCTGCCCAATGCCAGCAGTTTGATCCTGACCAGCTCAAGGTTGACTCAGCTTTCCGTCCTTCCAAGGTGGGTAAAATGAGGACCCAGATGGTTGGGGGCAAGAGGCTGGCTTTGTAAACCACTTAGAGCAGGGTTTCCCAACCTTGGTGGTTTTGAGTTGCGTGGAGTTCAACTCCCAGAATTCCCCCGTCAGCAAAGCTGGCTGGGGAATTCTGGGAGTTGAAGTCACACCTCTTAAGATTGAGAAACGCTGACTTAGAGGCGTGTAAAGACTGTGAAGTGCTATTACCTGCCCTCCCTCCCTTTCCTCCCTCCTTCCCAGTGGTTAGAATGCAAACTCTGCCGACTGCCAGCAGTTCGATCCTGACCAGCTCAAGGTTGACTCAGCCTTCCATCCTTCCCAGGTGGGCACAATGAGGACCCAGATGGTTGCGGGGCAAGAGGCTGAGTCTGTAAAACCGCTTAGCAGAGACTATAAAAGCACCAGTGAAGCGGCATATCGGTCTACGTGCCGCTGCTACCCTCCAGCTGATATGGGGGTGTTGCAACGAAAGGAAGGGCTTACAAGGGGACGGGAACCACTTTGACCCAAGACTGGACTGGGGGGGGGGGGGGGGACGGACGCAGGGAAGAAGGACCCCCTTACCAGATGCCTCTGGAGGCACTTGAGGCTCTTGACATACTTAAGGCAGAATTCGCAGAGGTAGACGACAGGGAGGGCGGTCAGCTCCTGAGGGTAGGGCGAGAAGTACCAGGGCTTCAGGCGGTGGCGCCCGAGTTCGATGCATTCAATGTTCTTCATGCGGGTGACAATGTCATCGTGGCTGCGGTCCGAGACCAAGCTGCCCGTCATGCGCGGCGCCGACGGGATCCCATCCGAGCTGTCCTGGGAGTCCTGCTTGCGAGAACCGAAAAGGGAGGGGGGGGTTCCGTTTCGGGATGGGAGAAGCAGCCAGGCGGGCTCACCTCCCAAGTGGCCAACGGAGACGGGCGCCACCGACTCCCCGGCCCGGATATGTACCTCGTCTGTCCCGAGGCAGTTGGATTTCCTCTTCCGGCCCGGCTGGGCGGCCACGGCTCGGCGGGCGGAGCCATTCTGGAAAAGAGGAGGGTGTTGCAATGACAACCTTGAATGACAACCGCAATTGAGCTTCCGTTGCTAAGCGAGACATTATGTTAAGTGAGATTTCTCCCGTTTTTTGTTTTTTTTTAAACGAGCTTTCTTGCCTCCCGTTGTTTTAAGGAATCGCTGTGGTTGTTGAGTTAGGCAAGGTGACTGTTAAGGGAATCTGGCCTCCCCCTGTTGACTGTGCAACGGTCGCAACTGTGAGCCAAAGATCTGAATGTCAATTGAACGGGCACAGGGATGCTGCCACGGACGTTAAGTGTGAAAAACGTTCATAGGAAGTCACTTCCCCCGCCCCCCCGTGTCTTAGTGAGAGAACTGTTGTTCCCTGTACAGACTCTGATTAAAACTGTCCGTGTTGGGGCCCCTTGGGGTGGAGATTTATGACATCAAGCAACGTTGAATTACTTCTCTTGGAGAATGTGACTTTGGGGGGTTGTTTCTAACTTCTAGTATTGTGGGGTAATCCCAGGTTGTGTCAGATCCGGAATTACCATGGACTTTGCCAATTTGAGGCTTTCCTAAATAAAATAAATTGTTTTGAAAGACAGACTTTGCTCTTTTCTTTTTAAACGGATTTCATCACTTGGAGACCTGACATTATGAGTTGACTGCAGGAGGAGACACCTGAAGGGAAAGTTTGTGGGGGGTCTTTCTATGGCTCCGATATGGTCAAAAATGACTTTGAAGGCCATAAGATCCCCAGAAGGTGGAGCTGTCCAACCAAAGAGCTACAAAAGACCCCGGGGGGGCGGGGGGGAGTGGAACCAGGGGTGTCCTTTGGCTCAGCTTTTCTCCACTGGGTGACCTCAATGTGGGGCAGGCTAGAATCCCCCCGAGTCATGCCCAGCACCGATGCATCTGCGGTGGTCCACCGGCAGCCTGCGGAGACGGCAGCAGCGTCGGACTGTGGGGAGGAACAGGGGCCACTCCGGGAGTCTGGGGAGAGCTCGGACAAGGATCCCGCATCCAATACAGAGATGGGACCAGGGCCATCTGGGAGTTATGTGCTGACTCTGGAACCTGCAGAATCTGGCAGCAGCGAGGAAGAGGAACAGGGGGAGCCTGTTCCCAGTGTGCGTATGCGCAGAGCTGCCAGAAGGCAAGAGCAGCTAAGACAAAAGGGGCGGCTCGGGAGTAAGGCGTGGAGGTGATTGCCCCTCCCATAAGACATAAAGGAGGAGCAAGGGACAGGAGCCTTTGCAGGAAGCAACTTTGTTCGTACTGGTCGGTTTGATGCCTGAAGCTCAGTGTTGAATTTGTGCTCCAGTTGGCCTCGTATAACTAATTGGACATTTAGTCGTTGGCAGCATTTCAAGGGAGATAAAGGTGCGTGATTATCAGACTTATCCTGAAGGATTTTGGCAGGCTTCCGTGGGACTATTTACGAAATGAGTGAGACTCATTACGGGCAGGGAATGACTAAAATTCACAGCCATTGAAATAAAAAAAAAAGGGGACTAACGTGTGTTTGTGAGTGTCTCCATAAGCCTCGGCAAAGAGCATGGACAACAATTCACTTAGTGACTGTTCAAAGTTAAAACGGCCCCGGGAAAAGTGACTTAGGACCGTTTTTCACACTTATGACCGCCGCAGCATTCCTCAGGTGATCGAGTGTGTCACGCGATCACCTTTTTAACAACCTCCTGGTGAGCAAAGTCAATGGGGGAAGCTGGATTCACTTAACAACCGTGTTGCTCACTTAGCAACGGCAAGCGATTCACTTATACAACGGTGGCGAGAAAGTCCCAAACTTTACTGTGCAAATGTCTCGCTTTAGCCACAAAAGCTTTGGGCTCCATGGCGGTCGTACGTCGCACCTGTATGCCCTTTTTGTGCACTTACCTGGGGAAAAACCGAGGCCTGGGTCGTCTCGCTCACAGCAGGGATGGGGGTCGCGGGAGAGACCACCTCCACCTTCCGTTTCTGGAAGAGACCAAAGCAGACAAGCTCTAGGGGGTAGCCTGCCTCCTCTTCCTTTTCTTCCTCCCCCTCCTCTCTTCTTCCCCTCCCCAAGGTTCCACCAGCACCGCAAAAAATGGGGAGACTCAGACCGGATGTGGGGGGAGGGTTTGGCCAGCAGGAGTTTCTGCCGCTACTGTCCAGGTGAATGAAGTTGGAGGTGAGAAGAGGGATCGTACGAGGCCTCTGATTGATTGGCTGGCTCTCTCTGGAGACGGTGGACTTCAACTCCCAGAATTCCTTAGCCAGCTTGATTTAAGATGGGTGAGCTTCGACTCCCAGAATTCCTCAATCACCTTGTTGGCTGGGGAATGAATTCTGGGAGTTGTAGTCCCCCATCTTAAATCAAGCTGCCTGGGGGATTCTGGGAATCAAAGTCCACCCATCTTAAATCAAGCTGCCTGGGGGATTCTAAGAGTTGAAATCCACCCATTTTAAATCCAGCTGCCTGGGGAATCCTGGGAGTTGTAGTCCACCCATCTTAAATCAAGCTGCCTGGAGGATTCTGGGAATTGAAGTCCACCCAACTTAAATCAAGCTGCCTGAGGGATTCTGGGAATCAAAGTCCACCCACCTTAAATCAAGCTGCCTGGGGGATTCTGGGAATCTTAAAGTGGCTGAGGTTAAGAAAGATTGATCTAATGCCTCAGAAAGATGGAGGGGACTCTGATTCTACCCTTGCCCACCTATGAGAAACCTATCCTTGTACCACCACAACTTTGACTGATAGGGGTAGCGTAGGAAAGCTGCTTTACACAAGACTACAGGCAGTCCTCGACTTACAACAGTTCACTTAGCGGCCGTTCGAAGTCACAATGGCACTGAAAACAGCGAGTTGTGAATCTTTGGCCGTTATGACCGTTGCAACATCCTCACAGTCACGTGATCAAAATTCAGCCGCTTGGCAACTGACTCGTACTTAGGATGATGTGTCCTCTGTGTGTCTGTGTGTCTGTCTGTCTGTCTGTCACATGATCCCCTTTTGCGACCTACTGACAAAGTCAGTGAGGGAGCCGGTTTCACTTAACGGCGTGACTCACTGAAGCACCGCAGTGATTCGCTTAATAACTGTGGTCATCCAGGCGGGGAAAAATTGGGGGGGGGGGGGTGAATTCACTTAGCAGCAGAGGTTTTGAGCTCAGCTGTGCCCGTTAAGTCGAGGACTACCTGTAAACCCGTCTCTCCTGTCTGGAGAAAGGAAAGATACACAAAGGCCCCTCAGAAGAACAGCATGGCCCCCCTGGACACTGAACCCCGCCAGTAGGGGTGGTTCAGGGCTTGAGGGGGTCTGGCCTTACCGATTTAATTTTCTTTCTTGGCCACTCAAAATAGTACACAAAACAGCGTTGGGAGCCCCAGATTCCTCCGTAACGCCAGGAAGTAGCACTTAGCAATAGCACTTAGACTTATATACCACTTTATAGTGCTTTATAGCCCTCCCTAAGTGGCTTACAGAGTCAGCCTATCACCTGCAACAATCGGGGTCCTCATTTTACCCACCTCGGAAGGACGGAAGGCTGAGTTAACCATAAGCCTGGTGGGATTTGAACTGCCAAACTCTGGGCAGCTGGCTGCAAAAGTTGCTTGCAGTACTGCACTCTAACCACTACGCCACTGAGCCTCCCTACGTTAAGTATTATCCTAAGTAGCTTGGGATAAGAAAGTGTGACTGGATCCAACGTCAATTCAGGGAGCTCCGGGGCAGGATTTGAACCCGGGTCTCCCGTTCTCTTAGCGCAGCCCCTTCCTCATCGAACCCATCCTGATTGGGGGGGTGGGCTGAGGAAGGAGGGGCTGACTCAAACTTTGGTTCTGTGGCTGAGGAGGGGTTAAAAAGTTGGGTCTCCCCGACTCTTATGCGACCCCCTAGGGCTTCGCACCTATAGAAGTTGAAGTTGTTACTCCTTCTGGCCTTAGGTTTTTCACAAAACAATCTTGCGAGGAAGGTGCGCAATGGGCCCAGTGTCAGCCAGAGAGCTGCCACAGCTGAGAAGGGATACAGAATCAATCTCTCTAGTTAAAACCAGTTTCAGACTGGGCTAAATATGGAGGGTTTTAAGCATGATGGAAAAACACCAGAATAGAATAGAATGGAGTGATGAAGAATAGAATATAGAACAGAATAATATAGAATAGTAGGATAGGATAGGATAGGATAGGATAGGATAGGATAGGATAGAATTCACAATAGAATATAGAACAGAATAGAATATAGAATAGATTAATAGAATAGACTATATAATATAGAATAGAATATAGAATAGAATAGAATATAGAATATAGAATAGATTAGGTTCAGAATACAACAGAATATAGAAGAGATTAATAGAATATAGAATAGACTAGAACAAAACATAAAACAGAAGAGAATAGCAACAGGAATAGCGCTTAGATTTATATACCGCTTCACAGTGCTTTATAGGGCCTTCTAAGCGGTGTACCGAGTCAGCCTCTTGCCCCCAACAATCTGGGTCCTCCTCATTTTACCCAACTCAGAAGGATGGAAGGCTGAGTCAATCTTGAGCCAGTGAGGATCGAACTGCTGGCAGTCGGCAGAGCGAGCCCCGCCATACTGCATTCTGAGCACTGCGCCGCAACAATTTACGGCTGTCAAATTCTTCATATTCAAGGTCAAGCCCATTCCATTTCTGCCTTAAACTTCGTACAGATCAGTCCCTGACTTTACAACCATTCACTTAGGGACCGTTTCGAAGTTACAACGGTAGTAAAACGGGGGGGGACGGGACTCCCTTAACCATGGCCTCGGGAAACTTCGGGAAAGTGCGGTCGCTAAGTCGAGGACTACCTGTGTAAGCAAGCCTAGCACGATTCACCTGTGGCTTAAAGGTAACGCAACACCACGCCCTTTTCCTCTGTGGTTTAAACCTTAATATCCAGCTGAGCCAGGCCTGCTCTCTTAAATATAAATATATATATATATACACATACATATACATATATATATATATATATATATATATTGTCCTGTTCTGGTTTGATTCAGGAGGGAAGTGGGGGCCCTGGACGTGGGGGGCCCTAGAAGTGGGGGTACACCCACACCCAACCACCCCCTCCCCACGGAGGTCTCCCTCGCTAGCCCAGACCTAACTCAACCCCTCCCCAGCTGGTGCGGCCTCTTGAGAAAAACGGGCCGAGCAAACGAGACAAATCAAAGGAACGAGCCGTGGCGGCCGAGTGCCGGTTTTGTACCGTGGAACGATGGTTTGGCTGGACGCAGGAGCTGGAGGAGAGGGGTTGGTCGGGCGAGCCAGGGATGGCCTCCCTCTCTTTAGATAGGTTAAAACGGAGGGTAATCTGCACCGGGATAGGTAGGGTTTTACCGCTGGATGGAGTGGCCGGTTGTAGATCCAAAGTCTTCCTCTGAGTAGAGAGGAAGGCGGGCATTACCAACACGTGTGTGGGGGAGGGGGGGTGAAAGGACACCAGTCCTGCTCGGGGTGGGGGCAGGGGGAGTGGGGGCAAACCTACGGGGAGACACCCCCCCTCCCCCCGTCTCCAGGCCAAGCTGCAGGCAGAGATCTCAGTGGGGAGGAAGCAGAAGGTTCCCACCATCGATGCTCTCAAACCAGTGGTGGGATTCCAATCATTTTAACAACCGGTTCTCTGCCCTGAAGGGTTTTCTCCCACAGCAACCAGTCCACTAAAACGGCTGAGAAAGTTAACGACCGGTTCTCCCGAACTGGTACAAACCGGCCGGATCCCACCACTGTCTCAAAACGCCCCGTCCTCACTTCGTAGACACTTCCGTGAACACCTGGGTTTAGTTCTAGGCTGGGCAAGAGGACTGGAGTTTCTCGCCCCTCCCCTCCCACAGGACTGTCCCCCTCCCAGGCGCGCCCTTCCCGCGCGAACGCCTCTCCCGCCCGCGAAGCCCTGCGCCTCCTTACCACGTCGCGTTCCGGAGAGCTGGGCCGGGATCCTGGCAGCCCGTTCTTGGTGGGCGTCTTGGCTTCCTTCTTGGGGAACTGGATCTTCTTCAGGTCCAGCCGGTCGTGGGTGACCCATTCGTCCAGGCGCTTGTTGACTGTAAGGGGAAAGGCAAGGCACGGTTTTTACCCCCTCTCTTTATGGAAAGGGACACGGTCGTTAAGTGAGAGGGGATTCTTTAGGGGTTAAGGCACCAGGCTAGAAACCGGGAGACGGTGAGATCTAGTCCTGCGTTAGGTAGGAATGTGAGTGACTGGACCAATCACCAGGGGGCTGGGAGTTCTAATCCCGCCTTAGGCATGAAAGACAGCTGGGTGACTTTGGGCCAATCACCAGGAGTCAGGGAATTCTAGTCCCGCCTTAGGTACGAAAGACAGCTGGGTGGCTTTTCAACAATTACCAGGAGACAGTGAATTCTAGTCCCGGGTGACTTTGGGCCGATTAGGAGATGGTAAGTTTTTATATATATTTAAAAATTAATATATATATATATAATAAAAATAATAAAAATAAAATAACAATCCAATCCAACAGAAAATCCTCCCATTCTCCACTCTTTCCTGCGCTTCTCATAGTAGCTGACAGATGCCTAAATCTTGTTTTATTTTCTTAACCACACACACACACACACACACACACACACAGAGTCAGAACAGGCCAAGATGCAGGAACCCAGGATACACATTCCCAGCCCTCCAAATGTGTGGGACAGTCATTCGTATGTCTGGGGAAAGGGCTCACTGGGAAAGACTGATGTAGGCATCAGAACTGAAAGGTCTTAATGGGTGTTGCTAACCCCTGCGGTCATCCGGGTAGTCCTCAACTTACGACTGCAACTGAGCCTAAAATGTATGTTGCTAAGTGAGACAGTTCAGTGAATTTTGCCTCACACTTGCCTCACACTTGTTAAGTGAATCATTGCGTTTGTTAAGTGAGGAGCCCGTTTGTTAAGTGAATCTGGACTCCCCTCTCACTTTACTGGCTAGAAGGTTGCAACAGGGGTTCACATAACAACGCAACTGTCACAAATATGAGTCAGTTGCCTAGCACTTGAATTTTAATTCCTTGGCCATGGGGATGCTGCAATGTTAAGTTTGAAAAACGGTCGTCACTTTTTTCACTGCTGTTAACTCCGGTCACTAAATGAACATCTGTAAGCCGAGGACAACCTGTAAGTCGTAAATTATCTTCACTTGAGTTCCATCGAGGTCCAGATAGGCCCCCCACTCGCCCCCAACCAGCCCCCAATTTTCATAATCTCCATCCAGATAAGCCCTGGATATTCTTTTCCTTCCCAGCCATCCAATGGTTCCACTTCTGATTTGTTTACTCACAGTCGATATAGTGAACATAGAAAAGTTTTCGGCCACTGATGTCTTTGACACTCAGGATTTCAGCCAGCGCTGTGAAAAGAAAAAGGGGGAAGCAGGTTATTTCAGGAGAAAGCAAAAGCTGGTGGGTTTCTCCTTTCTAAAGGCTTACAAAAACTCTGATTTACCCCAGAAAACACTTTTTCCACCAGGATAGGAAGAGGTCAGGCTTAAAAAGGTAAATTTGGCTTGACTAAGAACCGAATAATGCACTAGAGAGATAAGCCTGAAAAATCGAGGCTGAGAGGAACAATCAGATTTAAAATGGTCACTGGAGGATTTCAAGAAGAGACTGGACGATTGTCTGTCAGAAATGGGGTGGGGTCTCTTGCTTGGGCGGGGGTTGGATTAGATGATCTACAAGATCCCTTCTAACTCTGTTCATCCATTAGTAATCGGTGTAGGTTCTCCTGTTGGACTAGATGACCTACAAGGTCCCTTCCAACTATTAATAAGTGGTGTAGGGTCTCCGGTTGGGCTGCGGGGGTTGGACTAGATGACCTACAAGGTCCCTTCCAACTGTTAATCTGTTAATAAGGGGTGTGGGTTCTCCTGCTTCAGCGGGGGGGGGGTTGGACTAGATGACCTACAGGGTCCCTTCCAACTCTTCTGTTCTTCTTTTGCAATTCCCACTGGATTTTTGCAGCCGATATATTTAAACAAGAGAGATCCAGGTGCTCTGATCACTATACTGCACTGCCTTTTTTTTCTTATCCCAGTCCTGATCTTGGGGACCCCTCTAGGGATAGTCTCCTCCTTGGGGGGAATCTCCAATTTTTTGGCTGTACCCCCTTTAAATTCCTCCTCCGCCAAAGTCTGAATGGGACTTGCAGGCTCCATTGACCATTTCACGTGGCCCCGCCCCCCCTTCCTCAAACCCCCCCCCCCCCTCCTCCCCCCCCCCCCCTCCCTCACCCCACCCCCCCCCCCCCCCGTTACTCACGCCACTCGTCCTCGTTTTCTTGGTTACGGCGCAACACGGGGAGGTTACACCCTTCGGTCACTTCCTCCTGCAAAAAAAAAAAGAGAGGAGAAATTAAATGGGCCGTCGAGGCCTCGGGACGCCTCCGGCTCTTCTACCTTTCCCTCGGCTCCGCACTCACCACCTCCGCCATCTTAGGCTCTAGCCGTTTGCCGGGGCCTTCTCTTCCGGCATCTGCCGAAACTACTTCCCGGGAGCGGAACCGCTCTTTCCAGTATCCGTGGAGTCCGATTTCCGGTTTCTGGAGGCCCAACCTAACCGCGACGTCGCGGTTGTAGAATAAGGGGCGTACCATAGAGAGAAAAGCGGCCTAGTTCGCCCGGAAGGGCCTGGAAGCGAAGCGGAAGTTGGGGACCGTCCCCTGGCATTGAGCCCCGGATGTGGGTAGTTCAAAGTGCTTTGTGGGTCTATTACAATTGATTCTATTGAAATGAAATTGACAATATTCCTGGGTAGGTGTCAACCGCGAGGCTGGGCAGGCAGCTATCCTAGACGTTGCAAGGCTGACCTTGCAGTTGCAAGTGGAGGGTGGGGTGGAGCGGATCTGGGGGCGAAAAAATGCAGCAAGCTTGCAGGTCGCACAGGACGCTTCGTCTGACTGCAGAATGAAAAAAATGAAAAAAATGAAAAAGTCGTTCATCGGTTGGAAGAAAGGCTGCTTCGCGGGACTAATTCAATCAACTAGAATAGAGCTGGAAGGGACCTTAGAGGTCTTCTCGTCCAGCCCCCTGCCCAGGCAAAAGACCCTATATGTAATTCCAGACAAGTAGCTGTCCAGTCTCTTCTTAAAAGCCTCCAGTGATGGAGCGCCCACAACTTCTGGAGGCAAATTGTTTCACTGAATAATTGTCCTCGCTGTCAATCAATCAGTTCAATCAATCAGAAAGGAGCTGGAAGGGACCTTGGAGGTCTAATAGTCCACCCCCCTTACTCAAGCAGGAGATCCTATACCATTAACAAGTGGCTGTCCAGTCTCTTCTTAAAAATCAATCAGAATACAGCTGGAAGGTCTTCAAGTCGAACCCTTCTTAAAAGACCTCCAAAAAAGCCCAGGGACGGAAACACGGGTTGAAAGGCGAGGCATTCCATACTCGACCCAACGACCAACTCTCAAAAGCCGCTTTCCCACAGTACACGAAACTGGGAAAGTCTTTCGACTCGGCGCTCGGCCCCTTGCGGGGCTCGTGTCCCGCAAGCTCCGGTGCGCGGACGCAACTCTGGAGCCGCGTTCCCACGAGCGCCCTTAAAAACCGGCTTGCCAAGCCGTTTTCCGGAGCCGCTTCCCGCGGGTGGAGCTTTCGGATCTCTCGTGTTGTCCGAAAACCCGGCGGGCGGTAGGACCCGGGATCCCCGTCCGCCGTCTGCGCTATTTTCTTTTCTTTTCTTTTGGTAATATTTCCCCTCCACCTAACCTGGCGCCCCGCCCCCCGCCCCCGCGTTTTGCATACGGGGGCGTGGTCAGAACGCCGGGGCGGGGCTTTCCCAGCAGGCGGTCCCGCGTCACGTGGGGCAGGGTGTTTCCTTTTGGGGCTGCATACATTGTAACCGCGAAGGTTCCGTCGCCGCCGCGGCCTCCGCTCGCCTCTTCCCGCCACCGGCCGAGAGAAGCGGGGAGGGGCCCGGGAAAGACCCCGGCCCGTCTTCCCGGCCTTTGTGGAGCCGGTCGAGCGGGGCCTCCGGGCCTTCCTAGCCGCTGCTGCTGCGTGGCCTGGCCCAGGCCTCTGGGCCCCTCCCTCGCCCGCCATGGGGGAGCCCCTGCCCCAGATGCCGCCTTCGACCACCATGGACGGTGAGTGGCCCTTGGCCCCTTGCCCCGCCCCTCTCTGCCCCCCCATCCCTCCCTTTGGGGCTTTACCCCTCCCACCACGCACCTGCAGACCCCCCCTTCTCCTTTTTAGCCCCTCCCTTGATTAAGGGGGGAGTCAGAAACCCACATAAAAAGGGGGTACCTGTGCTCCTGTTAGCCCCCCCCTTTTGTCCCTTCCTTTGATGAGGAGATCAGACCCCTCCAAGAAAGGAGCTGCCCTCCCCCCTCAATGTCCCCCCTTGGGGGCTTTGACCCCTGGCATCTATGGACCCCCCTTCCCCTCTGAGCCCCCCCC